ATATATATACTAGGCTATTTAATAATAGTTCAAATTTAAAATGGGCAATATTGTGCTGAATGTAGAACTTGACGACAACAACAATAATAACGAAGTACAAAATAAAAATATATATATACTAGAAGCTGGGTGTGCTCCTCAAGAGGACTATGGTATTGTAAATTTATTAAAGTCTTATATATTTTATATTTGCAGTTTTTCAAAGTACAACTGTTTACATGTAGTAGAAAGATAAGCAAAAGAAATGTAATAATTGAATACTGATCTTCATTATGTTATGTGCAGGAAAAAAACACGAACTTCTGCGGAGAGTAATGTTCGCGCTGCGCTGTCAGCTCGGTGGCGCTAGTAAACACGTCCTCTCTACGCTGTCGAGTCGGTCGCGCAGCTCGGTCCGTTGAGCCGTGCCGATGACAGGTCAGCGCGGCGCGGACACTGTAATACCACGCTGTTTCGTCCCACATTTGGGTTGTTTGGCTTCCCATAGCCGTACCACAGCCAAAGATATATTTCAGCAGCTGTGTGACGCAATTGAGCGCGCTGGTTTGCCGTGGAACAGGCTGGTCGGCATTACCACTGATGGCGCCCCGTCTATGACTGGGAAAAAAAATGGACTGGTAGCACTAGTACAAAGAAAGTTAGAAGAGGAAAATGCAGATCCAGCAGTTGTTCTGCACTGCATTATTCACCAACAGGCACTGTGCAGCAAATGCTTGAAATATGAACATGTCATGTCTGTTGTCCTGAAATGTATCAATTACATCAGGTCGAGGAGTTTACAGCACCGCCAGTTTCGAGCCTTTTTAGAAGAAATTGAGTCAACATATGGTGATGTACTTCCTCCTCTCCCTCTCTTCTCTTCTCTTCTCTTCTCTTCTCTTCTCTTCTCTTCTCTTCTCGTCTCGTCTCTCTCGTCTCGGTCTCCTCTCCTGTCCTCCTCTCCTCTCCTCTCCTCCCCTCTCCTCTCCTCTTTTCTCTTCTCTTCTCGTCTCGTCTCGTCTCGTCTCGTCTCCTCTCCTGTCCTCCTCTCCTCTCCTCTCCTCCCCTCTCCTCTCCTCTT